CTGTGGCCGTGAGTAACGTGAGACGATTCATGTGGCAATTACTTCCTGGAATTCATCTGCCCTTAGCTCATTTAGGCATACAGGAGGGTGTGCTTAGCTAAGAAACCCCCTCCTCCCCTCTGGAAGACTCCTGGGATGTGTGATATAATTTCCTTAGGCATGAAAACTAGGAAGAAACTAAAGAAATACAAATCTGTTTAAAACTTAGTTTTAAAAAGTAAATATGATATACTTTCCTATCTATATATTATTGCTAGCAGCATAAGGATTCAATAGTCAATGTTGGTTATTTTGAGTGAAGTTCCTCTTAAAGAAATAGTCTGGATCAGGTTTCATTCAGTTGCAAATGTGACTTTAGAGCAGCCAAAGGAGGAATTTATGTCTCAAGCTGTATAAATCTGTCTCAAGATACATTTCACTGCTCCTATTTGGATTGCTTTGTCCTGTTACAGAATTATGTCTATGGACCTGGTCTAACACAGAGAGAGGGAAACAATTCTATGTGGCGTAGGTAACGAAGCTCAGCAATCCTAGATTTTCTTTTCTAGGGTGAAGGAAAGAGGGAATCGAAGGTACTAAAGTCAACGTACTACGTTTTATATTGGACTAGGTTTCTTTCTATTGTACCCAGTGATGTATTTTGGTTTTGTGCTGCCCTAGGCAAGACTAAAATTGGGTGCCCCCCCAAGACTAAAATCAGGCACCCCCAGCAGCTGAATTTGTCCCACGCCAGCCACGGTATACCATTTGGTGCCAAATTATGGTACCTAAAAATCTCCATAGGAAACATTTTAAAAGCCTTTACAAGTTAGCAGTTTAGAATTACACAGGAGGTCTGGTGCTAGACTTTTTACTCTCACTCTGACATTCATGGCAGTACCTCACATGTGTGGTGCGATCACCATTTACATGTGTGTGAGGGACCTATGTGCTGTGAGCATGGGGGAACGGGGGTGCTTTAAATTTTTTTTTGCTATTTTATTATTTCTTTATTTAATTTTTTTGTACACTGTACCTTTTTTAACTTTTTTTTTTATCAACTTTATTTCTATTACAAGGGATAAACAACATCCCTTGTGATAGCATGGGCCATGACAGTTCCTGTTTATGGAGAGATCTAGGGTCTATTAGACCCCAAATCTCTCCTCTTGCCTCCTAATGCATGTGATCAGACACAGATCATTCTTGTCATTTCCATTGGAACTACATGGTAGAGCCTGGTAAAGGCATCGGTGGCAGGAGGGGGGAGGGACGCCCTTCTGCTGCCTGTTAAAGTAATCCAGCGGCTTGTTAGCCCCCAGATTACTTTTATCTTGTGCAAACTGAGAGAGAGGGAGGGAGAGAGAGGAGGAGAAGAAAGAGAGGAGAAGAGAGAGAGGAGAAGATAGAGAGAGAGGAGAAGAGGGAGAGAGAGAGGGGGGTGGAGAAGAGAGAGAGGGGGGAGAGAGAGAGAGAGAGAGGGAGAAGAGAGAGAGGGGGAGAAGAGAGAGAAGGGGAGGAGAAGAAAGAGGGGGGAGAGAGGAGGGGGAAGAGAGGGGGGGGGGAGGGGGGGGAGAATAGAGAGATGGGAGAGAAGAAGAGAAAGAGGGAGGAGAAGAAGAGAAAGAGGGGGAGAGAGAGAGAGAGAGAGGGGGGGGGGGGGGAAGAGAGAAGGGGGAGGGGGGGAGACTCTATTTGACACGTAATGGAGCACTTATCTGGGGTCCGTGGTGTCTGTGGCTGCACTGATACCTGATATGCAGCGATGGTCTCCTCTCCTGCACCCCCTCTTCACGGTCAGCTGACCTCTGCCCTCCGGCCATATGCAGTGAATGGAATAGACGGCCAGCTGGCTGCAGAGAGGTCGGGTCAGCGGAGCATAGCTGCGATGGTCAGTCCGGGCCTGGGCTTCCTGCCGGATCTTAACAAAGTCAGTGGGTGCAGCAGGGAATCAGCACTCCAGGAAGGCACAAAGAGGGTAAGACAGGCTGCTTACCATTAATTCAGGATGGGATAAGCCAAGCCCACCTTCCCCTGCTCAAGAATTGTTGAGCCCGCCCCCTGCCTAAACCCTGCCTTCCGCCTGAGCCTGCCTCCAGCCCGAGCCATGCCGAGCTCTCCTGACCTGCCAAGGCCTGGCCCCTTGTCCCTTCTGCCTGGGGGCGGTGACGCCCCCCTAAATACTGCCGCCCTAGGCAAACACCTTGTTTGCCTCATGGCAGATACACCCCTGATTGTACCATATGGTTTATTCTCATCGATGTTGTGAAACCAATTGGTTATCCTAATCAGTATCCTGCATTATGGTATACATGCTTATCTAGGAGTTATAGAAACCTAGAAGAGCTACCACAGAAAAAACAATATGGTCCTTTAAGTCTTCCCATTTTTGATTTTTTTTTTCTCTTTTTATCTAAGTATATAAATCTCTGTTTATCCCAAGAATTTGCTTACTGCTGACTAACGCACTACCTCTGCTGGAAGTCTGTTCCAAGCAATAACTACTGTTTTGATAAAGTAATATGTTCTCGGAAGTAAATTATGATCGATCAACTTGCTGTTGTTAGTGTCTTTTACATCTGAGAAGACTGAACTGAAGTAATTGTTTTAAATGGTGTGCCCCATCCAGGCCTCCCTCAAAAGAAGTGCCTTATCTGCTTTTAGGGATGACCAGTATATTTCTATGTATTCTGAATTTCTTGTTCTACCACGTAAGGTTCTAGATTATTTGATTTAAGCATGTGAAGATTTTTTGAAGGTGCAGCAGGAACTGTTTGTAGTTATATAAAAGCACCCAAACCAAGAAAAGGTGACTCTAGTGCAGGGGCGGACTGACCATTTGGAAACTCGGGCACTACCTGAGGGCCCGGGGTCAGTAGGGGGCCCCATGAGATGCCCCTGGTACCTTTTTCATAGGCTTTTTTTGAGTTTGGGCAAGGACACAGGGGCCCCATGATCCCTTATTGCCTGGGGGCCCCTTGAGTTGTCAGTCCAGGCCCCCTGCTCTAGTGTATGATCGGAGGTCTTGAGTGGTTTGTTAGAGGAGTGGGACATTGTTAATTTCCACTGAGGTGTAGATATTTATGAGAATGTGAATATTTATTTGATAACATTCATTTATATTTTAATGGAAAAATTTGCTTGTATATGTAAAATAAATGGGTGAGGCATGCTTATGTTGAGTAGTTCTATTTTGCCATAATTTACTTAAAAAGTTTACTCAAAGTGATATTAACCACTTGCAGTCCTGAGAATTTACTGACCAGGCCTCTTTTTGCTATTCTGCACTGCACTATTTCAACTGGTAATTGCGCTGTCATGCAATGCTGTACCCAAACAAAATTTGTGTCCTTTTTTTCACACAAATAGAGCTTTCTTTTGGTGGCCTTTGATCACCTGTGCGCTTTTTATGTTTGACGCTATAAACAAAAAAATACTGAAAATTTGGAAGAAAAATTATAATTTTTACTTTCGGCTATAAAAAATATATAGTAAACTCAAAGTTAGTCATAAATTTAGGCCAAAATGTATTCTGCTACATATTTTTGGTAAAACAAATCCCAGTAAGTGTATATTGATTGCTTTGTGTGAAAGTTATGTCTACAAACTATGGTATAGATACTGCAATTTACACCATTTTATGCTGTACAGTGCTGCACTAGTTTAACTGACAATTGCACGGTCATGCAATACTGTACATAAATGAAATTTATGTCCTTTTTTTCACACAAATAGAGCTTTCTTTCGGTGGTATTTGATCACCATTGCTCTTTTTTTTTTTTTTTGCACTATAAAGTGAACATTTTTGAAAAAAAATATTTTCTCATTTCTGTCATAAAAAAATCCAAAAAAACTAAACTTTCATCAGAAATTTAGGCCAAAATGTATTCTGCTACATGTTTTTGGTAAAAAAAAATCCCAATAAGTGTATATTGATTGCTTTGTGTGAAAGTTATAGCATCTACAAAATATGGTATAGATAATGGAATTTACACAGCTTTTACTTTCTGACTGACTATCACATTTCTTGAGGTGCTAAAATACCAGGATAGTACAAACACCCTCAAATGACCCCTTTTCTGAAAGCAACACCTTAAGCTATCTGCTGAGAGATAGAGAGTCCATGGAAGATTTATTTTTTTTCCACAAGTTTTTGGAAAACAACAAAAGCATTTTTTTTTACACAAAGTTGTCATTTAAATGATATAATGCTCACACAAGCCATGTGTATATGTGGCATTACACCCCAAAATACATTATGATACTTCTACCGAGTATGGGGATACAACACGTGTGAGACGTTTTGGGAGCCTAGCCACATACAGGAGCCTGAAATCCAATGACCACTTTGAAAGCCTGAAGGTGCATAACTTCCTCATTTCACTTCCTCACTACCTATCACAGTTTTGGAGGCCCTGAAATGCCAGGATAGCACCAAACCCCTAAAAATTACCCCATTTTTGAAAGTACACACCCCAAGGAATTTAAAGAGGCATGGTGAGTATTTTGCAGATATCATTTTTTTCTCACAAGGTTTTGAAATATAAAAAAAGAAAATAAAAAATATGTTTTTGTTTTCTTTCTTCATTTTCCAAAACTTGTGGAAACAAAAAGGGGTCTTTTTTTTGGGGGGGGGGGGGGGGGGTTGGTGCTATCCTAGCATTTCAGGGCCTCCGAAACTGTGATGGGTAGTCGGGAAGTGAAATGAGGAAATTACGCACCTTCAGGCTTTCAAAGTGGTCATTGGATTTCAGTCTCCTATATGTAGCTAGGCTCCCAAAAATAAAGGAAATAAAGCCCTTTAACCACTAGCCTACAGGGCACTTATACCCCCTTCCTGCCCACGCCAATTTCCAGCTTTCAGCACTGTCACACTTTGACAATTGCGCGGTCATGCAACAATGTACCCATATGAACTTTTTATCATTTTTTTTGAGACAGATAGAGCTTTCTTTTGGTGGTATTTAATCACCTCTGGGATTTTTATTTTTTCTTAAACAAACCAAAAAAACCACTGAAAATTTTGAAAAAAAAAAAAACCGTTTTTCTTAGTTTTTGTTATACAATTTTGTAAATAAATGATTTTTCTCCTTCACTAATGTGCGCCAATGAGGGTGCAGTGATGGGCACTGATAGGCTGCACTGATAGACTCTGATAGGTGGCACTGATGGGCACTGATGAGGAGGCACTGGTAGGTTGCACTGATGGGCATTGACAGGCATCACTGATGGGCACTGAAAGGCAGCACTGATACATGACAGTGATACATGCACTGATATATGGCACTGCTAGGTGGCACTGATAGGCGGCACTGACTGGCACTGATAGGCAACACTGACTGGCACTGATAGGTGGAACTGATTGGCAGCACTGATAGGTCTCACTGATTGGCATTGATAGGTGGCACTGACTGGCACTGATGAGTGACATTGAAGCAAAGGCAGCTCAGATGGGCACTGATATGTGGCATTGATGTGCACTGGTATGCACTGATATGTGGCATTGATGTGGCACTGATGGGCACTGGCACATGGCACTGATGAGCACTGACAGGTGGCACTTTCTGGGGCCCCACTGATCATCAGGGCACACTGATCATCAGTGCCCTGATGATCAGTTGTACATGTCCCCTCGGCAGAAAGCCGATTACCGGCTCTCCTCTCCTCTCGAGCTGTCAGAGTGACAGCTCGGGAGGAGAGAAATGCCGATAACCGACATTTCCGTGTTTACATGTGATCAGCTGTGATTGGACACAGCTGATCACATGACTGAGCCGACATCTTCGGCTCTTTCCGTGATCCACTGTATCCGAGGGACACAGCGCACGGAGATCGCCGCGCTGCACGCTCCCTGAGCCGCGCATGCGCAGTGGGAATGGTAGGACGTCATATGATGTCCTATCAGAACAAGAGAACCACCTTGCGCCCGTCATTGTACTATAGAGCAGGCGGAAGGTGGTTAACAGCCTGAAGGTGCTTATTGGATTTTGGGGTCCTGTACTTGGCTAGACTGCCAAAAAGTCTCCCACATGTGGTATCCCCATACTCAGGAGAAGTGGCAGAATGTATTTTGGGGAGTAATTCCACATATACCCATGGCATGCACGAGCAATAAATCATTTAAGTGACAATTTTGTGTAATTTTTTTTGTCATTTTCCAAAAACGTGTGGTAAACAAATTCTTCTATTGACTCAACATCTCAGTAAATAGTTTGGGGTGTCTACTTTCCAAAAACGGGTCATTTTGGGGGGTGGGGGCATTTTATGCCCAGCATTAGAAGTTCATGCCACACATCATTCACTCTTCTAACTACCTGAAGACCAAGCCTTTTCTGACACTTTTTGTTCACATGAAAAAAATCAGTATCACGTGATGAGGTAAAAGGCCAATCACAGCAGCCTTTTACCACGTGATCAGCTGTGTCCAATGACGGACTAAATACAGTTGCCAGTTATCGGCAGCACTTTCCTCATGCTGTCACAATGTGAGGAAAGTACTGCTGATAACCGGCAACTGTCACAGAGCAGATCAGCACTGATCATCAGAGCACTGATGATCAGTGCCCTGCAGTGCCACCCAGCAGTGCCACCTACCATTGCCCAGCAGTGCCACCCACCAGTGCCCAGCAGTGCCGCCATTCAATGCCGCCAGTCAGTGCCACCTGTCAATGTCGTCGTCCATTAGTGCCACCTATCAGTGACCTTAATTTCTGCATATCAGTGCAGCATCATCAGTTCCTTCTCATCAATGCCAACCAGTGCCGCCTCATCAGTGCAGCCTATCCATGCCATCTCATCAGTGCCCATCAGTGCTGCCTATCAGTGCAGCCTCATCAACGCACATCAGTGAAGGAGAAAATTACCTGTTTGCAAAATTTTATAATAGAAACAAAGAAAAACTTTTTTTTTTTCAAATTTTTTGTACTTTTTTTGTTTATAGTGCAAAAAATAAAACACCCAGTGGTGATTAAATACCACCAAAAGAAAGCTCTATTTGTGTGAAAAAAATGATAAACATTTCATATGGGTACAGTGTTGCATGACCACGCAATTGTCATCCAAAGTGCAACAGCACTGAAAGCTGAAAATTGGCCTGGTCACAAAGGGGATAAAAGTGCCCGGTAAGCAAGTGGCTAAAATGCTAGTTCTTTCTCTATCATTGGCTTCAATACTTCTTGAGTCAGTGACCTAGAGCAAGCATGAAGCTAGTGAATTACAAGGAAAGCCAGGTCTCCTAATTTGCTAATTTTTTTTTAGGTTAGTAACCTAAAAAGTATAGAAACCTTTGGATCAGCATTACTATGAAAATGTATTTTTAAGGAATACTTTATAGTGGCAATCTCTATATGTTTGTTGAAAAGTTTGCTTAGTATACCTTCATTCCAACATCCTGTGTTGCCTCTGAGGCAAGGAAAGCTTTGCTTTTATACAATACAAATGTGATTAATGGTGGGAAGCAGACAAAAAGTAAGTAATATAAGTTGATGTGTTAGTATGCAGGTGTCAGAGAGCACTTACTCTAAATGGAATCCTCAAATTACACCAGGTGGTAAGGCAATTACTGAAAAATATAAAAGAGTTTATTACAGCAGTTCTTTATCAAGATCCCTTATTTTTCCATTAGAGTATAAAGGATGTTAGGTCACTCATTCCAAAATTAGATCAATAGGGATTGTGCTGAAATAGAATTACTTTAAATTTTGTATATAGGGTCAATGGGGAAAATCTGTGGGGGTGCACAACTTTTTAGATCTGGCAAATTTTCTCGAGAAACAAAAGGTAACTTAATGACTGTCAAAGGAAGTCTTTACAACAAAAACTGATTTCATGAGACTCTGAAATATCACTACTTGACCTTTTGGCTCACTTGGCTCAGAAGTGATAAATAGCACTATTAAAAACCATAGTTCACCATTGCCTAAGGAAGGAGTCCTAAGCGACTCTGAAATATTGCATTATCTGGCAGTGAATAAAAGTTCTTTCCTGGAAAACTTCTTCATCAAACTGATACAAGGCATGGATGAGCTCAGCTATGAGGAAAGATTAGAGGAGCTGAATTTATTCTCTCTTGAGAAGAGGAGATTAAGGGGGGGATATGATCAACATGTATAAATAAATCTGTGGTCCATATAGTGAACTCGGTGTAAAGTTATTCACCTTAAGGTCATCACAGAGGACAAGGGGGCACTCTTTATGCCTGGAGGAAAATAGATTTAATCTCCAAATACAGAAAGATTGCTTTACAGTAAGAGATGTGAAAATGTGGAATAGACTCCCTCAAGAGTTGGTTCTGGCAAGGTCAGTAGATTACTTTAAAAAAACGGCCTGGATTATTTACTAGATACACAGAATATACCTGGATACTAACATTTATAAGTAATGTTGATCTAGGAAATATCCAATTGCCTCTTGGAGAATCAGGAAGGAATTTTTAGCCCTGCAGCAGCAAATTGGAACGTGCTTTGCTGGGGGGGGGGGGGTTGTCGGTTGCCTTCCTGTGGATCAATTGTGAGTATAGGATATATAAGAAAAAAAAGTTTTTTATTTTTTTTATCTCCTTTTATGGTTGAACTAGATGGACTTGTCTTTTTTCAGCCAGACTAACTATGCAACTATGTAATTCGTACCCTTCTACATTTTCTGGTTAAGACCTTACTATCCTTAAACGTTTATTAGCAGATACTACTCTGTACATAACCTACCACAATTTTTTTTTTTTTTGTTTCTTTTTTTTTTGTTTCAAAGTTAGTCCAAACCTAGCAACATAATAAACATCTATTCCCTAGTTAGTCAAATTGAAAAAAAGATTTGTGTCCACTAAATTCGAATGAAAAAAAAAGAAAATTAAATTTAAACTACTGAATCCTCAGAACCCACATTTGATTCAGAGGATATAAAAAAAATATCTATTTTCAGTTTTCACGGACAGGGAAAAAACCTTCCTGATCCCCAAGAGCAATCTGATATCCCTCAGATCAACAAAACTACAGTTTGTTTCTTATAAATTTAGCTAGCTATATTTTGTGCTATATTTTGTATTTAAAGACACTGACAGCTCTTTTTTGAAGCAATCTACTGAGTTGGCTAGAAAGAGTTCCTGTGGAAGTCTATTCTACAATTTTATAGCTTTCACTGTAAAGAACTCTTTCCTTACGTGGAAGTTAACCCTATTTTCCTTCAGGTGTAAAAAATGCCCCATTATCCTTAAAATAAACAACTTTGCACCAAGTTTGCAAGATATTATTAAGTCTGCGATCTAACAGCACACACTGAAAACACTACATTTTTTAACCCCAATCAAACTGTGCATCCATATCAGCTTGTAAGTCAGGGCCATCTTATAGTGACTTTATACCACTACATCGCTTGGTGTCATCTACAAACACATCAATGGTATATTACATTTTTAAACAGGCTAATAAATAGTGTCCTTAATACTGAACATAAGGGTATACCAGTAAGAACATCCTTATGTTCGGAGGTCACCCTCTAGGGCCTGAAATCACATTAAGAAGCTATTTAAAATAGCACTCTACAGGTTTACACACGTCAAGCTTTTATTCTGCCAAAATGCTGCTGCTCCTGAATGCGCTGGCAGTGGGGGTTTTTTTTTTCTGCCTATAAATGCCCTGTCTCTAAGGGGTTTATTTACTAAAGCTGGAGAGTCCAAAATCAGACTCCCTTCTGCATAAAAACCAATCAGCTTCCAGGTTTCATTGCCAAAGCTTCATTGAACAAGCTGAGGTTAGAAGCTGATTGGTTTCTATGCAGAAGGGAGTCTGATTTTGGACTCTCCAGCTTTAGTAAATAAACCCCTAAATGTCCACGTGTGCATGGACACATAGACTTACAGGAAGGGGCATTTAGAGGCAGAAAATTTGCATGAGGCCTTAAGGTGTTCAAATCCCAATTCATTATTATTATTATTACACAGGATTTATATAGCGCCAACAGTTTGCGCAGCGCTTTACAATATAAGGGAGACAGTACAATTACAATACATTTCAGTACAGAAGGAATAGGAGGGCCCGGCTCGTGGAGCTTACAATCTAAAAGAAGGGGGAGGTGAAACAAAAGGTGATAGCTGTGGGGGATGATCTGGTTGAGGTGATTCAAGTACAGTTCTTAGGTGAGGTGGGGTAGGCTTCCCTGAAGAAGTGAGTTTTCAAAGATAGCCTAAAGGAAGACAGGATGGGGGGCTGACCGGACATGCTGTGGTAGGGAGTTCCAGAGGATGAGAAAGGCTCTGGAGAAGTCCTGGAGGCGAGCGTGGGAGGAGGTGATGAGGGAGCTACAGAGGAAGATATCTTGGGAGGAGCGGAGTGGGCGATTTGGGCGGTATCTGTGGATGAGGTTGGCGATGTAGCTAGGGGCAATGTTGTGGATGGCTTTGTAAGCTGTGGTTTAGTATTTTGAATTTTATACACTGGGTTAGTGGAAGCCATAAAGTGAAGAGGAGATAGATTGGCAGAGAGGGGCAGCAGTAACCAAGGCGTGATAAGTTGTGGTGAGTCTAGCAGCAGCGGATTTGGAAATAGTTCCGGAGGTTGAGGGGGGATTTAGCCAGTGACTGTGTAGAGGTCAGAGTCTAGGGCTTAGACCAGCATGAGGGGAAGGGTTGTGCTGTTGCAGTAATGGTAAAGTCATGAGTGGGGGATCGGGGAGAGGAAATATAATGCTCCTGAAAGATTGAGTTTTAGGTAGTGGTGTGATAAGTGATATTTGTAGTGATTTGTGATACGTCATTGGTAGCTGGGGAGTGGAGAGATAGGGGGTGTCATTACAGTTGTGATTATTCAACCCCCCGGAGGTTAGGACTAATAGTGCATTTGGAATGTTTCAGCCAGTTGTAACTGGATGTGGGACCAAAGGAGAGGTAGTAAAGAGTCTATGGATTATTCAACCCCTTAGCACTAACTCTGTGCATGAAAACACCTGTGGGGAAGGACCAACGCAGTAAATGCTTGTTCACTCTTAATGGTTAAAGTCATGAGTGGGGATCGGTCCAGGAGGAGGAAATGATTCTTACAAGCTCAATTTTGAAAGATTGAGTTTAAGGTAGTAGGGTCATTGACAAATTCCATGCTGATATGTTGTCTAGAAAGATTTGTGATACGTGCTGGAGAATAGAGAGGGGGTGAGCTGGGGAGAGGAGTCTAAAACATACCAAAAGATAGATGGGTACTGAAGGTCAGTCATCAGCATAGAGGTGGTATTGGAAGCCATGGGACCCCCTTGCTGTTATCAAAGAAGTTGACTGCCCATGCCAAAAGGTGGTCTAGAGTGTTCTGTGGACTGATGAAACAAAATTAGAACTGTTTGGGCCCATGGATCAACGCTATGCCTAAGGAAGGGCAGAACCTTGCCTTGGGTGTAGGGTCCCCAACTTGGGGAAAGCTTCTGGGAAGAGGAGCGGAGGTAGGAGGAGTTGTATGTGACACTGAAAGTGCACTGAGAAAGGACCTTTAAGAGGAGAACCAGAGAGAAAGCAGAGTCACGGAGGCCAATGGAGTGGAGGTTACTGAGAGAGGAGGAGGTTTGCCCATGAAAGACCCAGAGCTGAAAGGTCTGTGTCAAAGGCAGCGGAAATGTCAAGGAGTCACTTGGGGGTTGAATAAAATGAGTATGGAATAGTGGCCATTGGTTATTTTTTAGCAGTTAGTAGGTCTGATTACAAGTGAGTTTTAGTAGGGCAGTTTCTGGCCAAAAATGTTGTGGGTGGAAGCCAGACTGTCGGGGATCAAGAAGGTTGTTGTCGGTGAGGCAGCAGTTATACGGTTGTGAAGAAGGCGCTTGAGAAGCTTGGAGGCAAATGGGAGCAGGGAGATGGGTCTTAAGTTATTCAAACA